CTGCAGAGATAGTTTTATTTCTTTGGCAAATTGGATGCCTTTGATTTCCTTTTGTTGTCTAATAGCTCTAGCTACAACTTAAAGCACAATATTGAATAAGTGGAGTGACAAAGGCCATCTTTGTCTGGTTCCTGAACTCAAGGGAATGTTTTCAATTTCTCTGCAATGAGCAAGATGTTGCCTAGTCGTTTTATGTATGTGCCCTTTATTATTCTGAGGAATTTCCCTTCTCTTCCTATATCATTGAGCTTTTATCAGGAATGGGTGCTGGATTTAGTCAGAAGCTTTTTCTGAATCAAGAGATATAAACATTTAGCTCTTTCCCTTTGTTATGTTTGCTTTTATGGTGGGTTACATAGATTTTTATTTTCTAATATTGGATCATCTTTGAGTACTTGTTATACATCTGACTTGGTCATTGTATATTATTGTTTTTGATACTTGCTGGATTCAGTTGACCAGGCTTTTATTGAGAATTTTTGCATCCATGTTCTTATGGGACATGAGCCTCTACTTTTCTATTCTGGTAATATCTTTGCATGGTTTTTGTATCAGGGTTATGTGTACTTCATAAAGGGAGTTTGGGAGTTTGCTGCTCATTTCTACATTCTGGAATAGTTTGAGTAGGCTCGGGGTAATTTCTTCTCTGAATGCTTAGTAGAATTCCCTGGTGAAGCTGTCTGGACCTGGACTTTGGTTCTTGCTGTTGTGGGGAGTTTTTGAATAACCTAGCCAAGTTCTCTGTTTGTTATGTGTCTGTTCAGGTTTTCTACATCCAATCCAAAAAACCAAAATCATTGCCATTAAGTCAATGCTAACTCATAACGACCCCATAGGATTAAATTGAATAGAACTGGCCTTATGAGTTTCTGAGACTGTAACTATCCATTGGAGTAGGAATCCCCATCTTTCTCCCATGGTGTGGCTGGTGGTTTCCAAACTGCTGACCTTGCAGACCCAGCCTAATGTGTCATCACTAGGCCTCCCCAGCTCCTTCTTTACTACATTGGTCTGTGATAATTTAGGTTGGTATTGTGTTTCTAGAAATCTATTTCTTCTGGGCTTTCAAATTCGTTGCACTACC